GGGAAGGATTGTGGATAATTGCATGAAATTGTGGATGTGGGGAGTGTTTACCAAGTTGGGAAAGAGCAGAGGGAGTATTTGCACTGCAAACTTGGGTTGTTTCAACATCACCGGTGACAGTGCCACAGCGAGCTCCTATTTTGGGTGCCCAGGGGATTTTTAATTTGATTTTATTTTTATTTTTTTTTTAAGTTGAGGTTTTTCTTACAGACAAGGGGAAGGAAGGAGATTTACAGCACTCGTGGAGCTTGTGGCACACCGACTTCAGCCCAGCATCCAACCCTGGGCTTGGGGGAAAAAGACTCCTCCTGTTAAAACATCTTAAAGAAAGTGCATTTCTTCATTCTCGTTCTGAAACGTGACTCAGGTGATAGCTTAGAAAGGGGTGGAGAAACAAAACCGAGCAAAACCTGTGAGCTGGTGGGATTCAGTTCTGAATGTTCTCGGTGGCTTTTGGGGGTTTTTCTGGTGTTATAGTTCTGAAAAATACCGAGACCCCCAAATTCCTGCTGGATGGAGAAATAACGGATATGAGCAGAGTTGCAATATCTTAGTTTTCTTGCCCACCTACACTTTGTGCACGTTGCTCCAGGCTTGAGCTTCCCCCAGGTAGAACTGCTGGGGCAGGAGAAGAAGAGTGCACAGCAAACTAGAAGAAAGCTTTTTTTATTTTCTTATGTATTTTGGGAGAACTCTGCTTCTGGGCTTTTTTTGGTGCTGTTTTCCAGCGAGGTTGCAGCAACTTTCTGGGTGCTGCTCACGCTCGAGGGCTATTCACATATCACCCTCGGTCGGGAGCTGTGCCATGTCCATGTGCCAACCTTGGTCCCTCTTCTGACAACCAGGTAGGACCGTGGTGGCCTCCAATTTTCAGTAAAACGTGGCTGAATTAGGCCAACGGGTTTGGAATATTGGGAAGGGGTTCACAGAGGCAAACAGGGGCACCAGCAGATGCAGAAACCTTCCCTTTTATAACCTCAGCTGGTTTTTAGCTTGCAAAACAACCAGGGAGCCACCAAACATCCATCTTGCCAATTATTACATTTTCAATCTCTTACCAGCTGATTATACGTGTTTGTGTGGCGGTTGTTTTTATTTTTCCCTCCTCCCTGCAGGCATATGTACTTTTTGGAAGGGTTAATAGATGAAACTCCAGATTCAATTAGAAAGTCTGCGTTTTATGAAATTGCCTGGAAAGAGCAATATCTCTGTCTCGCTGAGCTTCCCTTCCCTGCTGATAATGCACAGAGCTTTGCTCAACACGGCGTCCGCCTCCAGAGCCATCTGCAGCAGAATTTGTCTTCTCCAGCCCACCTGTCCTGCCCTACAGCTTTTGGGCCTGAGTTTGGTTGCGTGATGGGTGAGGTGGACCCAAGCTCAAGGTTAGACATCTTGAAGCCCTTTAAAAGTGTGTTGTGTGCATCATAGAATGGTTTGGGTTGGAAGGGACCTTAAAGATCATCCAGTTCCAACCCACTGCCATGGGCAGGGACACCTCCACTAGACCAGGTTGCCCAAAGCTCCACCCAGCCTGGTCTTGATGAGCTTGGGCTAACTGATGCAGAAATAAATAAGAAAAATGGTGGGGTTTCATCTCCTCCCCCTGGCATCTCCCCCCAGTGCTGCCAAGGACCCAGGGCAGACCAGCTTCACCCCAAGTCTTTGCCCCAGGAGCTCATCCCAAAACATGTACCAGGGTGGCTCATGAAGCTCTTTCAGCTGCTGTCACTGCTGGGGAGGGACAAGCCTCCTTTCCCTTAAGGTCTTCCCCAGGGGGATGGTTTGGTGTCCCTCTCCTGCAGACCAGGATCCCATCTGGTCTGGAGGAGAGGGACCAGCAGGTTTGGTGTGGGGTGAGGCTGCCCGAGGCATCGTGAGGGTTGCAAACCTCGCTTTCTAGAGGGACTAAGCTTTATCAGAGAATAACCATCATTAAGACAAATTGGGGATTTGCCTGGTGGGACTGAAGCTTCAGAGGAGAGGTTGGGGATTCAGGTTACCCTGGTAACCCCAGGTTCCATCCTCCTTTATCTGCCCTAAGCGTCCGTCCTGCTGAACGTTCTCTGGCTCCGTCATGGGGTATGATGTCTTTTTGGCAGGGACGGGTTCCCTGATGCCTCACAGGTTGGTTGGGGATGAGTCAGGACTGCAGGCTGCTGGCACTGTCACCCCGGGACACTTTTCCTTTTTGGTGAGGGAAGGGAAGCATGATACAGGGCTGGAGGGTGAGGGAGCTCCTGGGCTGATAGTCAAGGCAGTTGAGTGCTCTAGACCAGGTTGGTTCTTCCTTCCTTCCTTCCTTCCTTCCTCTGCTGCCGTGTTTTCTGTCCGATGCTTCCTATTTTGTGCTGGATGAATCATGGAAACTGCTCTCCCTAATTGAGTTTTCTGCCATTTCTCTTGGTTCCGCAGGAGGCAGGGAGCAGCCAGCGAAAGCCTCCTCCTGGAGGGGTGCTTGGTGGGTAGGGGAAAACACACAGCAAAAATGGGGTTGTAAAGGTCCTGTTTGGATTTTTAAAAAAAAAAATCAAAAATAATAATTCACACTTGATTTTATTTATTCCCTCCCTTAGAAAAATAAGCAAGCCAAATAGCTCTGGGGTGACGGTGCAGAGATTTAAAACAAGTCTGCATTGTGCTTGCAAAGACCTTCCTGAGCCGATGGGTGCTTGGGGATGGTGGGGGGCTCAAGGTGGCCCCCACTTCCAGATCTGCCAGAGGGTTTCCTGACGTTTCAGCTGGGTTCAGCATCGCTGCAAAACTGGTTGCCCTGCCCAGGGGTTTAAACAGGGTTGGGTATGGCTGCACTTTGCAGCTTGGAGGAACCCATAGACCTCCTGCTGCAAGGGATGCTGAGAAAGAAAATAGATTTTATTATGTATATGTATTTATAATACATAAAACCATAATAAAAGTAGGTCATTACCTCTATGTTTGGTTCACAGGCTGTGGTACAGATTGCTTGTGCCTTTTCCATTTGTGGAGTAGCCACAAATGCTGCACATCAGGGATGTAAAGCAAATTTAAAGGGCGTTTTGCTGCTTTTTCCACGAGTGAGTGGCATCCGTTGAGGGCAGAGATGCTTGCCCGTGTGGCCAGTACAAGATAAATCATTTCAGCCCGAGGAGGAGGAGGAGGAATTTGTGTTTCAGTGATAGCAATGCAGTGGCATCTTAATGAATTAAATTTCCAAGTGCTAGTTGAGTAATGCTATTAACACTGAAAAGAGCTTCCTTCCTAGATTTTACTTTAAACAAACCAAAAAAAAAAAGTAACTTTCAGGCTTGTTGGGGTTTGTTCTTCTCCTGAAGTGTGGACCTGGCTCCGGCAGAGCTGCTCGAAGGCTCAGCATCCCACGGATGGAGGAGCAAAGCCCTGCGCTGCCAGGAGCAGCGTTTTGGGGAGATTTGGGTTCAGGAGATCAACCTCACATTTTTACAAAGATGCTGATGGACGGCGTGGGCTTGTGCAGTGTCCCTGCTCCACACGTGGGGTATAAAAGAGCACCAGTGATTGATTAGTAAACCAGGCAGGTGACATTTCATGAGGGGTTCTTCAGGAGGAGGCTTTGGGTTTGAGCAACAAAAAGATTGACTGTTGCATTTATTTTGTCACCTCTTTGGCCCTTCACTTACTGTTCCCTGCCCTGTAGAGATGTGAACCTGCCCTTGGAAACCCCATTTATGAACCCGATAAAAGGACACTTCTTTTCCCAGCAGCACGTTCCCTTATTAGCAGAAAACACTCCCTGATTTTTCCCAGCAAGGACACATTGAACATCTGCATTCAGCATCGTGTCCCCATGTGCTCAGTGTCCTTTTCTTTTTAATTTTTTCCCCTCTCTCCTCCTTTTTTCATGGCTTTTGAATAGCTCTCTGCGACTGCACGGCGTGCTTTGACGTCAGGATTTTGCGGCGGTGAACCGTGAGTGTGTCCCCTGGCACGCCGGGACCAGGGAGGTCTCCTGCACTCACAGGAATCTCAGTGTTTGGAACAAGGCTGCTTTTGTCCCTATTTTTTTTTTGTTTATTTATTTATTTATTTCTTAACAAGTCAAACTATTTTTCACGCAAGAAATGTTCTTATAAAATTTTAAGTTCCAGCACGGGTCTGCCCTGTTTTGGACCCCTCCATGGGTGTGTGTAGATGTTCTCCTGAATATTTGCTCTCCTGGAAACGAAGTAGGATAAAATAGCAGTGTAAGTTGGTCGTGCTGGTAGATACAGGACAATTTGAGGTATCCCTTTGTATTTAAGCCCTTCTGCGGGTGGTTGCTGCAGGGTGGCTGCTCTATGCTGTATTTTTCGTAGCCTGTGTCAAAAACATTTAAAACCCGATTAAAACCCCCTGTTAAATCTCATTAGCACTAAGAGCATCAGATTGTTGTGGCTGCAGCTTTATTACGGCAGTCTGATAATAATAATTTCATTGGCTATTTATCACTGTGTTTCAAAGTATAATTTTTCAAGCGTCGTGACCGGAGGCTGGAAGGATTTTTGTTCCGTTTTGAACTTTGCTCTGCAATTAAATCCCCGTTGGGGGGTGGAGGAGAGTCTGCTCCAGTTTGTACCATACCCCATAAGACTTAAATCCACACTAAAAATTAAATTCTGCCCCAAGAGAGCGACTGTGTCACTCAGCAAAACACAGCAGCGTTTCTGCTGGACTCAAGATAAATGAAAACAGTTCTGGGTTTTATTTTTTATTTTCCCATAATTGTCCTAGAAGGAGTGGCTTTGGCATGTTTAAAGGAATCTGGTTTTAAAGAGGTCGGTATGAGCAGCGAGGAGGCGACGTCCTGTCCCTCCCCATAGGGAGCAACAGGGCTATATAGATATATGTATATTTGAGTATATATATACACCCATAAGATACTGATACAGCTTTGTATGTACCCATATTTTTATATATAAATATACTTTACATTTGCATGTATAAATAGATATTTGATAAATGCATTATATAGACATACATATATACACATTTATTTTTTTTTAATTAAATATTTATCCCTGCATCAGCATCCACATGTGGGGGAAGGAAACACAGCACTATTTAATGGTTATATCAGTAGTTTCTGAAAAGTAAATAATATTAATGACCAGGAGAGCGGGCGCTGGCTGGAGCGGGACCTTCAGCAGTGCTCTTGGCTGTAAAACCCTTCTTTATTCTTTTCCCACCCCAGCCCCTCTGTCCTGCCCCAGCCACCAGATTAGCCATTTTTTTGGTACTTCTGAGTCTTTTGGGAGCATTTGCGATATTCTCTGATGTTTTTGGTGATGGAAAGATGTGCCTTCAGACCTCATTGACACGCACTGCTCGATAGTATGTGAAAAAGGGAAACCTACCAAAGCAAGGTTACGTGCCACGATTTTTGGGGTGAGGGTGGTTTGTTTCCTCCCTTCTTTTTTTTACTTTTAGACTTGAATTGCTTTCCTTTTCAAGTTTTTTTACATATTTCTGCCTTGCTTTCCGTGGTGCATCCCGAGGGGACAGGAGGGCGGAGGGGAGGGAACATCCCATCCCAACCAACTTGCCCAGGACACAGGGGCACTCCCCAGCTGTTTATTGCTGGAAGTGTCTTTTTGTTGGTTTTTTTCCCCCCCCCCCCTTTGAAGGAGTTTTTCTTCCCCTCCAGCTTCTCAAGAGGGGTGTGTAACCAGCCAACACCCAGCCTCTGGCTTGGAGAGCCTCCTCGGGGCTTGCGAGCGCTGGATTAATGTTTTATCAGCAGGTATTTGAGCTTAAAGGTACTTTAATCCCCCAACTGCCTCTCGAGCTGTCGGCTGCCTGCAGTCAGGGTTTTAAACGTGCTGCCCACATCTGTCTTTTTTTCAATAGAATGTGTATTCTTTATTAATTAAAAGAAAAAAAAGAAATGCAACCCACTGGTTTTTTTTTCCCTTATAAAAACCCTCCACCAATTCCAGCCCGGGCTCATTGAAAAGCTGGAAAGTTGTTTTTTCTTGGTGGTTTATTAAGTTTAAAAAAAAAAAAAGAAAAATCACTTTTTGCAAGAGGAAATGCTTGGCTTGTGAGTTGGTTTCAGCCCTTGCACCACATCTTATATACAGTATTTATATATATATTTGTGTGAGTGTCTGTATAAATGTGTGTATATATGACAGCTGTGTATGTCTGTATACATTTTATATATGCATACATTTTATGTGTGTGTATATGCATATATTTTGTAAGTATAAAAATGACATAAATGTGCATATATATACATTTATATACATAATATTTTTTTTTATCTATACATGGATCAATTTGAGGTTTTGTGTGGGTAATGGAAAGGCATTTTACTACCTCGACTTCCCGAGCGTGACTAAACCAGAGCAGGAATAATCATCATTAAGGGCCCCCCCCGGCGGGGAAGAGCCAGGAGCAGGGAGGGATGCTCTGCTAATTCTGCTCCGATGGAAAAACAACCAGTGGGATGGATGGGCTTGGGCTCTGCCCTGTTTTGTACCGGAGGCGGATGATCCTTTCCTATTGCTCCCCCAGGAGGGCTGAAGACTTGAATCCATGGCTCTAAAAAGTCATCAGTTATAATTAAGAAACGAACTGAAACCTCTGCTTTGGCTGCCTCCAAAGGTGAAAAGTATTGCGAGGGAAACCAGCATCAGCTGCAAGTCTTTGTTTCCAAAAATCAAACAAAAAAAAAAAACGTGATGGAAAGCAGGTTTGCAGAAGTTCCCCACGTATCTACCAAAGCTTATGCAGGAGCTTTCTAATAATCTACCTCTGATGTTTCAAGGTGATGGAGGTGTTCGCAGGCTCTTTTGCTGTCTGGTGGATTTAATCAGGGATTAAATGTGTGTGAAAGGGGACCTGGTGCTACCCCAGGGGAGCCTTTCCCAGAGGTGGAGACCACCACTGCTGGAGATTCCTGCTCTCCAAATACCGATGGAGCGGGATTTAACCGTGTGCCAGGGAATGGGGAGGGAGAAAGGAAAAAAGCAAAAAAAAAAAAGAGTTTTATTTGGTCGTATCAGGGTTCTTTTGTTCCGAGCGGTGCTGGGAAGGAGGGCCCATCTGCAATAGGGGATATCCCAAAATAACAAGGCAAATACAGTGTTTATTTAACGCCGGAGACTTGTATACTATTGCTCGTAAGCCATAAGCCCGTGGGGAGAGCCTGCCAAGTGACGGCAATGCTTCTGAAGGAGGGAGGTTCAATAGCTGCTGCAGGAGCAGAGCAGAAAGGGGACATTGAAAATCCACGGATAGGCAGAGGGGAAGGTGTTTGGAGCAGCCAGCTCCTGGGATAAATGGGATAAATGGGCCATTGGGCAAAATGGATGGGGCTGCCTCGATCTTCTTGCCCAAAATTTGCTTCGTGGCATGGGGCTGCCTCGATCTTCTTGCCCAAAATGTGCTTCGTGGCTGAAATGGTAATGAAATGGTAATGGTGTACGTGTGTGTCTGTGTAGTAGCAAGCCCAGGATTAAGGTACACTTTGTCTGCACCTCAATTAAGACTTATTTTCTTCTCCTTGAGTTCTAGATGTGGATTTAGTGGTAGCTGTGAGAATAAAAATCAGTAGTTGTAATTCCGTGGGGCGACGTGACTGCGGCGAGGCACCGGCGCGAATTGAAAGCGAAGGACAGTTAAGGTTCAAAACGCTATTTATTGAGCAGCTCTTTGTCTCTTCTTGTAATGTTCTGTCCTCTGCAGCCGTCTGGGTGATTTAAGGTGCCTCTTGGATTTGCAGGGCTGTCTAAACAGCTTTTCAAGGTGGATGGCGAGCTTCCTCCCTGGGTTTTGCTGTACGAAATGTCCTCGGCGTCACCTGTTCCACGTCTTTGCTGCTTGGCAGATGCAAAATCAGGTTCTTCCTCAAAAAAAAAAAAAATCACAGCTGCGTCCCCTACACCTCCTGGGCTCCTGGCAGGCGAGGTTTCCCTTCAGGCTGCCCAGGGAGGTGGAGGAAGTGGGGAGCAGGGATTATTTTTGATGCTGGGAAGGAAGCGCCGTGTTTCCCTTTCCCGCTGGGCTCCTGGAGCTCCCCGTCCCCTCTGCCACTGACAGCTCCAGCCTCCCCAAAAGCCCCACAGCCTTCACCTGGCAGGTTCCTTGCCTGGAAGGGTTGCATCGGTGGCAACAGTTTGCCCTGGCAAATGTGTATTGCTCATTTCCAAGATCCCTCTGTGCTCTCCAAGGTGACTGTGGTGGGAGGATGCTTCTTCATTGCACTGAGGACACCTAAATCCTGGTGGCTCTGATGTTCCTCTCCCCCTACTGTGCAGGAATCTGTCTGATTTGCAGTAATCTGGGTGGATTTTCCCACCTCACCAAACAACTCTGTTTCTTTTCCTATTTGCTTTGATTGAGATGCTGGTGGACACTTGCTGGCTCTGACCATTTCTGCTTCTTTGCGTGACAGCGTTGCCTTAAGGAACCTTCCAGCCACTTCATGCTCTGACAAGCTCTAGGCAATCCTGCTTTAGCAGGGGAGTTGGACTAGATGATCTCTATGGTCCCTTCCAACTCTAAAAATTCAGTGAAATTCATGGCTGGAAACAGCAGCTCAGCGATGCGCAGGGAGCATTTAACAGCTCAGAAGAGCTTCTGGATCTACCGACCCCTCTTCTGAGCTTTGCAGCATGGCTTTGGACCTGTAGTAACCACTAGAAGTCGAGGTTCTGGGATCTTTAAAATGAGTTTGTGGGGCTGGGAGACTTAAATATGAAACAGCCAGTCCTGCAGCCCAGAGAGGTGGTGGAGTCTCCTTCTCTGGAGACATTCGAACCCCACCTGGACACGTTCCTGTGCAACCTGCTCTGGGTGGACCTGCTTTGGCAGCAGGTGGGTTGGACTAGATGATCTCCAGAGGTCCCTTCCAACCCTGAATCTGTGATTCTGTGACAGTAGTAAATGGGCAAAGACTGAGCTGAAGTAATAAGCCTTGTCGTAAAGCTGTAACCCCGGCAAATCAGTAACTCGTGAATTGGGACCCTGGTGGAGATTTATGAACCTTTGATCAGATTTACCCAGGCGGTTGGCGTTCTCCTGGTGTGCAGGGGCTTGCTCCGAGCCCCGGGTCGTGCCTGCTGCCTCCCAAAGCACCGGAGTTTTTCTTGTCAACGTTGTTAGTGTTAAACTCAGCCCCACAACTCGGCTGCTAAACATTTGCCAAGCTCTTTTATATATAACTACCCCGTGGGGCAGCCTCAGACCTTCACCTTTCTGGGCATAGCCAACATCTCACTGTTAATTCAAAGCGTTAATTGCTCTCCGGCCGAAAGACGATGCTGTGCATATTCGTGCCATGGCCTGAAAGGTTAATCTGCAGCACAAACCCAAATCCCCTCTGTTAGGAATAAGGTTTAGTGATTCAAAATGCTTCTTTTTCTTTTTTTTTTCCTCCCCTTGGACTTTCGGTGCCAATTTGTTCAGCTTTCAGTAGGGCAGAAGTTGGACTTCATTACCAAAGTCCATTGTAATGATTTCTCAGATTTTTTTGAGAGTAGCCAAGGCTTGTGCAAGTTTGCATGCTTTTCTATATTTGGTTTTGTTTAATTTGATTGTACAAAGCTGTTGAAAAGTCTAGCTGAACATTTCTACTTTCTGGCTGCACGATTATACCATTATACCAGGAGTTTAAAGTTAAAAAAAAAGAAAACTTCTGCTGGCTTTTCTCAGTAACTCCGAGCTCAAGATCCCGTTTTCAGATAGGGGCAGAAAAAAGGTCATTTGTCACATTGTTCTCGTCTCGATTAAGATCAGATGTGGCTCGTTGGGGAATAGTCTTCATGCTGTCTGTCCTGGAGTGTGTTCTTGGGTACCTTCAGCCTGTTTTGGCTGGTGTGTCTGCTGGGATTTCGCTCCTGGACTCTGCTGGGTTTGCCCCTGGCTTTCTGGCTGGTGCACGAGCGTGGCTGCCCAAGGACAGAGGAAGGAATTTTTGCAATAAATGCCAGCTGGCAGTTTTCATTTGGGTTAAACTGATGTTTTATGTTGGGAACCCAAGATCTGAGGAGCATCTGGAGCTGAAAACGGAATTATTTTATTTCTGGTGCCTTAACCTGCAAAGTGCCTTGCTTTCCAGCTCCTTTTTTGTTATGAAAATTTAAATAACCTCATGCAAAGTCCATGAGCTCAAAGGTTACTGATAACTCTCGCGTAGTAACTATCAAGTTATCGATAACCATCGAGTTCAGAAGTGTCCCTGTGGCACATCCTGCAGCATCTCGAGGTTCTCATGTGCTTGCCCAGATGACATCCTGCGGAAACGTTTGGTTTTTCCTTTGAAACGAGATCTTTGGCTGTCCACACTGCTCTCGCCGTCGATGCTGACTGCTCCCCTCGGTCGATATTTTGGGGGAGGAGATGGAGGGTTTAGGCAAATTAGAACTTTGCTAAATGCACCTGCAGCGCCTGGATCATACCCTCCCCTTCTTGCCTTTCTTCTGTGTGGTGGTGAGAGCCTGGCCCAGGTTGCCCAGAGAAGCTGTGGCTGCCCCATCCCTGGAGGGGTTCAAGGCCAGGTTGGAGGGGGCTTGGAGCAACTTGGTCCGGTGGGAGGTGTCCCTGCCCAGGGCAGGGGTTGGAACTGGATGGTCTTTAAGGTCCCTTCCAACCCAAACCATTCCGTGATTCTATGACATTGCATTGTTAACGCTGGTCAGTGGTTGTTGGACTGGAAGATGCTCCACAGGAATGGCAGGGGCCTGTGGGGAGAGCAGGGCAGGTGTTAGCAGAAAATATTCCAGGTGTTAGGGAAAATAGTCCACCGTGACCGTCTTTTGGAGTTATCACGAGGCTTTGGTTCCCAAAATGCTTCCCAACTCAGATGTGACCTTCAAAGAGTCCATGGTTATGCCCCTGCTGGAAGGAGACGTGGCTGTTGGGTTTTGCGCTGATGTTCCTTTGGGAAGTAACTTCAGTTTCATTTGGGAATTTTCCAGTTTTGTCTGTAGAAACTGAAAGCCCTGGAGAAGACACAGTGTTGAATTCTTCTCGCAGACGACCTAGTTCTGCTTTCTGTGTGTGCCCAGGCGGCTGCGCTCACCTTCAAGTGGCACAGGTTTCCAACGTGGTGGGGATGGAGAAAGCCAAGAATTGACAGTTAAGCTAAAAAACTGTGCAAAATCCCTCCCAGGGAAGGTGTGAGGGGGTTCATGACCCCCTTGGCCTCATGCTCCAGCCTTATCACTGCTGGGCTGAGAAATCCACAGACACCTCGTGTCTCACCCTTATTCCTCTTGGGTTCTTTCCTACTTTTATTTCCAAGGTAACTTCTGGATGCTGTTGAGCACAGGCAATTATTTGTGTCTGAAAAGGGCTGCCGGCATTTTTGGATCGATAGTCACTTTGTAGTTAAACGCATTTAAACTTCTGCTTTTGTCTTTTGAGGGCTAATTCTGGTCCCGGCTTTAACTGGTAAAATGCTTTCTTTGTTCTAGATGTCAAGAAAGACTGGTCGGATCACGCGCTGTGGTGGGAAAAGAAGAAAACCTGGCTCCTTAAAACGCACTGGACGTTGGACAAATACGGGATACAGGCTGATGCCAAGCTCCAGTTCACACCTCAGCACAAGCTGCTTCGCCTTCAGCTGCCCAACATGAAGTACGTCAAGGTGAAAGTCAACTTCTCCGACAGGGTCTTCAAGGCCGTCTCTGACATCTGCAAAACCTTCAGTAAGTAGCAAGAGCCAAAAGCCACCATTTTCCAGCTGCCGGTGGGGAGGTCAGCGTTTGGTTTGGCTCCTGCCTGTCCTTCCACATGTGTCCTCATCTCATAAACTTCTTAAATTAACGTTATTTTCCAGCTTCGAACACCCAGCGGTCACCTGGGCATCAAGCAGCCTGGGTATCTGCTGTTTTTCCAATGCAAATCTAATGTCTTATGTGTAAATACTTAAATACTGGGACAGATCATATCGCAAACGTGAGAAGAAATACATTTTTTTTGTACTAAATTCTCTTTCGTGGCAAGGCTGTTCTCAGTTTGGTCTTAGGCAAGGTGGCAGCAGCCCTGCTTTATGTTAAAACTGCTGGTGCTGGGTCATATATTTTTTTCCTGCAAATTTATGTGGTAGATGAAAAACAAACCCTGAAATAGGAAACCTGCCAACTCCGTGGGTTCTCTTTCAGTGGAAAAATCATATTAGAGATTAAGTGATGATGTTTCACTGTAAAACTGTCTGGTGGAGGGAAGGAACCGAGCCTCCCTCTTTCCTCCCCAGATCCTCTTCATGTTCTTTTCCCTTGTTGAGGAGAAGCCTCAGTAGAAAGGGTGGATTATTTCCTACCAGGTACCAAAGGCAGTTAGCAAAGGCAAGTGCAGGGTGCTGCACCTGGGGAGAAATAACCCCCTGCACCAGGACAGGTTGGGGCTGACCTGCTGGAGAGCAGCTCTGAGGAGAAAGACCTGGGAGTCCTGGTGGACAACAGGATGCCCATGAGCCAGCAATGGGCTCTTGTGGCCCAGAGGCCACTGGCATCCTGGGGGGCATCAAGAAGAGTGTGAGCAGCAGGTGGAGGGAGGTCATCCTGCCCCTCTGCTCTGCCCTGGGGAGGCCCCATCTGGAGCACTGGGACCAGTTCTGGGCTCCCCAGTTGCAGAAGGACAGGGAACTGCTGGAGAGGGGACAGCAGAGGGCTACAGAGATGATGAGGGGCCTGGAGCATCTCTGTCATGAAGGCTGAGGGACTTGGGTCTTTTTAGTCTGGAGAAGGTTGAGGAGGAATCTGATCAATGCCTATAAATCCTTAAAGTGTGGGTGTCAGGAGAATGGGGCCAGTCTTTTTTCAGTGGTGCCCAGGGACAGGACAAGAGGAAATGTGCACAAACTTGAATGTTAGAAGTTCCACCTAAACATGTGAATGAATTTCTTTCCTGTGAGGGTGGCAGAGCCCTGGAAGAGGCTGCCCAGAGAGGTGGTGGAGTCTCCTTCTCTGGAGACATTCAAACCCCACCTGGACACGTTCCTGTGCAACCTGCTCTGGGTGGACCTGCTTTGGCAGGGGGTTGGACTAGATGATCTCTAGAGGTCACTTCCAACCACATATGATTCTGTGATACCCACTGGCTGTTGCTTTTGCGCATCGCTTTTTACCCATCTTCAGAAATTTCTCCTCCCCAAAGCTGGTGCTCCTTTCTCTAGTCCCCAGGAGATGACAGTTCCGCTCTGAGGAACTCAATGTGGGCTCCGTACCGTGTGTCCTTCCCGCTTGCTCCCCTCCAAAAAGGATCCTGCAACCCGACCTCGGCCGTAGTAAATCTATTTCTGCTCTCCAAAAGCAGCCAGGGTTCCTCTTGGCTGACCCAGTTATTTTGTGAGGCAGGAAGAGCTGGGCCGTACGTGCGGTGTTACGGCGCATCCGTGGTTAGGTCGCTATTATATATAGCTGATTACAAATTTCTGCTATTTCTTTCCTGGGTTGTTTTGTGGTTTGTTTTTTTTTTTTCAAATATAAATATTGGGCAATTTCTCCTTAAAATAGAAAAGGCTTAGCCAGCGTTATTTCTCCCCCTGTCTCCCATTGCCTTTTTTAATGCCATGCTAGACAGAGAGGTCCCGGGTGTCTGCGTGGTTGCTGATGAGTCTTCCTAGCAGTGAGTCACGTCAGGAAATTCTGATACAGTTAATCACATAACGAGAGAGAGATCTTTCGCCGGCGACGTCAAGCAGCCAGAACCTTACATGGGCCTGAAGCAGCTCTTTATTCAACTCCAGGGCTCTCAGTGTATTTATGAACAAACCAGCAGAACCATGCTAATGTTTAAAGATGTGGAAGGGGGGGAAAAAGCCCGCTGGGATGGTGGCAACCCAGCTGTGGTAGGAGTTCTTTGCAGCAGGCAGGGGGGACGACACATCTCTCGAGGGTGGTTCTGACTTCCTCCTATGGCATCCGACCTGCTGGAATAAATATTCCAGATTTTGGGGAAAGCGGGATTTTTGCCAGAAACGTCACTTTCCTTTTAGTGACTGTTTAACCAGTGAGGAGGGATGGAAACTACATGGCCCAATAGAGCGATGAAATCTTGTTTAGCCCTTGTCTCTGTGTTTTTTGGGAGACAGATGTTGAGCAGGGAAGACAGCTCAGCATCAGCTCAAGGGATGAAGGCACCAGGATGCGGGGACGTGGCAGTGCTGGAGGTGGAGGGGCTGGGAAGCTCTTCCCTGGACCACAGCGGTGTTTGGACAGCTATATAATATAAATAGAATAGGTGTATTTGGACCTATATATATTGGTGTATATAACAGGTGCGAATAGGTGTATTTGGACCTATATATATTGGGATATAGGTGTGTATGGGGTCCAAATACACCTCTTAAATATACACCTGTATATAATAGGTGTCCAAATAGAATTATAGAATCGTCTAGGTTGGAAGAGACCCTTGGGATCATCGAGTCCAACCATCTCCCCTACTCTACAAGTCATCCCCTACACCATGTCCCTTAGCACTGCATCTAAACGGCCCTTAAACACAGCCAGGGATGGTGACTCCACCCCCTCCCTGGGCAGCCTGTTCCAATGCCCTATCACTCTTTCGGTGAAAAATTCTTTCCTAATGTTCAGTCTAAACCTGCCCTGTTGGAGCTTGAAGCCATTCCCTCTCGTTCTGTCACTAATTACCTGGGAGAAGAGACCAGCACCAACCTCTCTACAGTGTCCTTTCACGTAGTTGTAGAGAGATAACACCTGTATAGATACACCTACTGTATCTATATTTAGGTGCCCAAATACCTTTGCAGACCAGGGAAGATCTTCCCAGTGGAATGACACAGAGATTATTAATTATTTTAATATATATATATGATATATAAGAACCAAAAGCTGCTTGGGGCAACCACCAAACCGCTCCACGCAAATCCCAGTCGCCGTCCGTCCTTCCTTCCCCTGTGTGTGACCTTGGTGCTGTGCCGTGGGTCACAGACCTCCCCAAGTTGGGGTCCTGGAGCCGAGCACTGGTGGAGGCAGGAGCTAATCTCAGCCCTGGAGGTCACGTGCTGGCCGGCCCAGAGGCTTTGTGCCCTGCAAAACCATCCCGGGGCTGTCACGCTGATTTTCTGCAGGGCGTTTCGTTCCTGGAAGGCGTGGGGAATATCTGCCCCACACTTCAGCGCCCGCTGGGGCTTGCCAAAAATTAGGGTGGCTGTAGAGTGGTGGGGTCATCTCACCTTGGGGATCATGCATTGTCCTTTTTCTCCAACGCAGCCATCTCTTGGGGACTCACAGACCGTACTTTCCCAAGCCTGTTTTCCTCTTTTTTTCTCTTATTTTTCCCCTGGGTTAATGTTTACGCTACCCCGTTTTTCTCCGTTACTTTTTTCCTGCCCTCCGCAGCATCTCCGCACAGGAAAACTTGTACCCCGTATTAATCATGCTAATTATCCCCCCAAGGAAAACTCAGTAGATATTTCAAGGCAGAAAGGAAAGAAGTAGTCGCTGCTCTAACAGCATAGCTCTTGTCTCTGGAAATCCCTTGATTTCCAAAGTTAGGGTCTGGTGTGGCCGGGACCCATGTCCAGCAGAGAGAACTCTGCTTGTGAGTTGCTCGTATTTTGGCTATAACTGTTTGCTGTCTTTGCCCCCCCCAGAGCATTTAATTACACGCTTCAGTAATTCTAGCATATGGCATGATTAACGAGTAGTGTAAGTAATTCCTTGTGTTGCTGGGACTATAGCTGGTTGTGTTTATAAAATCCTCTATACGCAAGTGGGAATGCGCTTGGGTGAATTATTTAGGGTTGTGCCTTTTCCTATATTCCTTTTAAATTGTACCTAGAGGTGTCACCTTTGCAGCGGGTGGTTGCTTTTTAAAGAAAAGCCTCTGTTCTTGTGCAGAATTACTGCAAAGGGCAGCTCTGGCCGTGGCTCCCGGCGGGGGGGCAGCCTGGAGGTGGCTGTGGGAAGAGGCTGGAGCCTCCCGCATCCCTGGCTTCCTTGGAGGTCGTGCGAAGCCGGAAAAAACCTCCATCTCATTCCCAGGGGCTGGATCTCAGCCCCTCCATTCCCACAGCAACCGGTCGGGGAGGGTTAACCCCAGGGATTGACCCTGCCTGCGGCAGGAGGAGGCAGAGGATCCGGGCGGTGGATGGGATGGGATGGGCAGCCCTCACCCGAAGGGTGGCCTGGAAGCCTGCCCGGAGGCAGCTGCTGGCAGGCAGCACTGGCCTGGAGGGCCAGCTTTGATCTGCAATTAAAGACCAGAGAAAGAGAAAGTAAAACTTTGACTTAAGATGGGGTTTTTTTATTATTTTTTTGCAGCGGCAGGGATTGGTGCTGCCTGTCTGACCGGCAGCGGGGCACGGAGGTTGGGATGGGATGCTCCCGCTTGTCCCCCTCGTCTCCTTTTCCTGCTGGGAGATATTTCTGCCCAGCAGACAGCCCATCAAATGCACAAATGGAATTTGGTGGGGCTGCAGTCAACACTTTGGGGTGGGTGGAAATATTCTCAATGGAAAGCAGGGGGGGCTGCAGTCAACACTTTGGGGTGGGTGGGAATGTCCTCAATGGAAAGATTTGGGGAGATAGGAGATGTGGCTCCATTGCAAAGCTCCTGCTTAAACCATCATCCTACATAACAATGAGCAGAAAAATCTTCTTTTCCTCCACAATGGTTTCATTGCAAGAGCTCCCACAAAAACCCGTCTTCCTACGATGTGGAAAAATCCTCTTTTTCT